GCCTCCTCGCCGCCCCGCCGCCCATCCTCACCGCCTGGCGCCCGAGCTGCCCGCGGTCTGGGTCCCCGCGGTCGGAACCGCCCCGGCCGACCGGGCCCCCAAACGAGGCCGAGATGACTTCCAAGGAGGACAGCAAGGCGGCGCCGGGGGAGGAGCGGCGGCGCAGCCCTCTGGACCACCTGCCGCCGCCCGCCAACTCCAACAAGCCGCTGACGCCCTTCAGCATCGAGGACATCCTCAACAAGCCGTCCGTGCGGAGAAGTTACTCGCTGTGCGGGGCGGCGCACCTGCTGGCCGCTGCCGATAAGCACGCGCCGGGCGGCTTGCCCCTGGCGGGCCGCGCGCTGCTCTCGCAGACCTCGCCGCTGTGCGCGCTGGAGGAGCTCGCCAGCAAGACCTTTAAGGGGCTGGAGGTCAGCGTCCTGCAGGCGGCCGAAGGTAGGCACTGTCGCCCTGGCCCCTTCACCCAGCGCTCCGCGCACTCGGTGCCCCTGCCCTCCTCCTCCAGCCCAGCCTCCAGCTTGGGGTGGAGGGAGCCGGACCGGACCCAGTCTCTCTCTGCTAGGGACCTCTGCGTAGGCCACACTCCGGGTGGCGGGAACCTACGCTCTTTCTGCTGTCGGCCGGCCTTGCCTGGCTCCCTCTGGTTCCCAGCGGCCTGCGTGCTTCCAACCCAGAGGAGTTAGAATCCACTGAACCTTTTGCTGGGACCTTCTAGGTAGAACAGAGTTTGCAAGGGTTAGGGAATCAACATGCACACTGCAATCCACCGAGTCCCGTCTGGATTCTTGGCGCTGTCATGGACTTTGGGCTGTTCAAACCAACTCTTAGTGAGTGGACAGAGACCGAAACAATTTTTCCTAGGGACTTCCCAGAGACTAGAGGCAGGCAGAGGCTCGTGCTAGCCCTTGTTTACTAGGTCTGGGAGGCTGCATCAGATCAGAGGAGGGAACAGCAGTAGGCTCCAGGCCAGATGGGCCTAGGTGGGGCGTGGAGTTCTGGGGCGAATCCCTGGGTGGGATCTCTCCACTCTTCCTGTAGAAGCCTATCCTGTCATTTCTTTCCAGGCCGCGATGGGATGACCATCTTTGGGCAGCGGCAGACCCCCAAGAAGCGGCGGAAGTCGCGCACGGCCTTCACTAACCACCAGATCTATGAGTTGGAAAAGCGATTCCTGTACCAGAAGTACCTGTCCCCAGCAGATCGCGACCAGATCGCACAGCAGCTGGGCCTCACTAACGCCCAGGTCATCACCTGGTTCCAGAATCGGCGTGCCAAGCTCAAGCGGGACCTGGAGGAGATGAAGGCCGACGTAGAGTCTGCCAAGAAACTGGGCCCCAGCGGGCAGATGGACATCGTGGCGCTGGCCGAACTCGAGCAGAACTCAGAGTCCGCAGGCGGTGGTGGCGGAGGCGGAGGCAGCGGCTGCGGCAGGGCCAAGTCGAGGCCGAGCTCCCCGGCGCTCCCCCCAGGCGCCCCGCAGGCCCCGGGAGCTGGACCCTTGCAGCTCTCACCCGCCTCTCCGCTCACGGACCAGCGGGCCAGCAGCCAGGACTGCTCGGAGGACGAGGAAGATGAAGAGATCGACGTGGACGATTGAGCGGCGCCCCATCTTCTGCCACCCCCTCCTCTAGCGCCGAGCACCCGCGGCCTCCCGGACCTGACTGCTGAGGGGAGCTGGGACCTCCTCCGCAGCGCCTGTCTCCTTCCTTGTCCCCAGGCCTGGACTCCCGGCAGCCGCCTCTTCCCTTTCGAAGCAATAAACCCGGGCTGGCCGGCCCGCCGGCGCCATAAGCGGCCTCCACCGTGCTGGGAGCCCTCGCCGTGCAATTCTGTATGGCTTCTGTATAAATATTTAAACCTATATAGCGGATCCTTCCCACCGCAGCCTGAATTTTTTCTTTCTTTTATTTTTTTAAGTACCAGATATTTCAATGTTTGTAAAGTTGTTTGGCTGCGGGGTTGGCTGAGGGCGAGGCAGAATCGGGAACAGGAGCGGGAACGCTAACCCTGCGATTGGGAAGAGGGGGCAGCTCTGGCTGTTTTGGTTTTTCTCTGCATGTGGCGAATGCACTAGGGCTCCCTCCTCGCCTCCCTCGGCCTATCCTATCGCAGTTGACCGCTTTCCTTTCTTTCTGCCCGTTTTCCCTGCGTGGGAAGGGAGTGAGGGGGCAGCCAGGTCCCGACTTGCAAGTTTCAAAGTCGATCTTTCCTTCCCCACACCAGAGAACTGTCTTCGATGCCGTTTCTGCCTCCTGATGCCCACTAACGCTGTTTTTACGATCTTCCCTCCCTCCTGCATTTTCTCAGACTGCTTGCTGGAGTCTGGTTCTTTACGACAGAGCAGGGGGACATCCAATCAAGCAACCACTGGAAACAGAACCCAAAGCCCTAGAATTATTTTTTACTCTTTTTAGAATTTTTTTGCATGTGACAGAGACAGAGAGGAGGCGACCTAAGTCCTCCCCCACCTCCTCCAAAGCTCTGGGTCTCTCTTGCCGAATTTGACATCCCACTCCTAGCTCAACTTGGCGAGGAAAGGGCGGCCTGGTGAGGATGGTCCGGAGTGCCCCTTCCTTCCCCGCCCTGCCCTCTCCTCTGCGGACTGTATCCAAGGTCTCCTTCTCCGATAAATAAAAGTCTTTGCCATTTTACTAGAGCCGGCGATGTGATGCCCGAGTCTGAGTGAATGGGCCGATCCGGGAAGCAGCGGACATGCTCATCTTTCTTTACTGCTCCTGGCCTGTCCCCCTAGCTTTGGAGATTTGGGGGGGCGTTTCAGGGCAGGCAAGAGAGCAAGGGAGAGGGAGAAGCCACGGGAGGAGGTGCTTCTTGTCTGGTCACAGGCAGCGGCTCCTAAACGGGAGGGAGAAGCGGGCTTCGCCAGGTCGGGGTAAAAAGCAGGGCGTGAGGTACTGGAAGAGAGGAGCGTGTTCGCCCGGGCACCGCAGTAAGAAATCCTTTGTTCCGGGCAAAGGGCCGGAGGAGAGCCTGGCCTTGCCTTCCCCAGTCCGCCTGGCCCAGCGCTCTCTACCTGTGCTCCCCAAGGCCTGGGCTGCGCCCTGGTGCACGGGCAGGCAGGTGTTACTCAGCCAGACAGAAGGGCAGGGTCTGGGGAGTCCCAGGGTTCCGGCTGCCTGGAGGGCCTCGTCCTTGGGGTAGAAGTGAGAAATAACGAGGCCAAGGTAAAAAGGGCAAGCCGAATTGCATGCAAGGGCACTCACTCCGGGATGTGAGTCCAAAGCGACCAGGGGCTGGGGTAAATATCTGGTAATGTTCACTTATTCTGGGCCCGAACTCGGCGATCGGCAGAGACTTGGGTCCCTCCGAGACGCTGGGGTTCGCGCGCGCGAGCGTGGCTGGGTGGGCGCTCGGCCGGTTTCATTTTCCGGACTGAGCGAGTTTCTCTCGGCTTTGTTGTCTCTGGGCTGGCGAGTGGCCGCTGTCACCAGAGAAGGGTCCCGCCTCCGGCCACTCGGCTCTTTCTCCGCAAAATTGATGTGAGAAATGCGCATCTGGTCCGGGGCAGGCGATGGGGCCCCCGGGCCTGAGTCAGGACGCGTGTGTCCGGAGGAAAGCAAGAGGCAGCCAGGAACGGGGGTGGGAGGAAGGAGCTCGGGACCCCAGGGCAGAGCGGGGAGCCAGGCAAGTGGGGCGGCGAGGGGGACAGGCGGGATTCACGGAGAGAGGGAAGACAGAGGAAGAGGGCGAGAGGGGAAAGGAAGGGGCGAGGAGAGAGGAGCGCGAGGCGCGGCTGCGGCCGGGCAGCCTCGCGGGCATGCGGCCGGTTCCTCCCGGCGACATAAATCGCCCTCTCTCAGGATGGATGGGTCTGTAATTCGGAGTGCGGACCATGAAGGCCGGGACGAATGGGCCCGGGCGGCCGCTGACAGGCGACAATAGCCGGACCCAGCCCCCCGCGGCTCCCGGTGCGGGCACGGCCGCGGCCCTCCGCAGCCCAGAGCGCGCCGGCGCTGGCGACCATATGGTTTTTGAATTTTCTTCACAATTTGTAGACAATTTGATGGATTAGGTCCCCGCGCGCGCCTCCCCGGCACAAAGGCGGCGCAGGGACCGCGGCGCGGCGGTCACCCGGGCATCTGCGCCCG